TAGAAATTTAATAGTTAGTGTCTTTTTTACTCTACCAATCCAGCAATGAGCCAATTGATTGCAAGCACGAATCAAATTCATAACGTGAATATTCTTAATAATGAAGGAAGTTTCGATTATTGTCATTACCGTGTTTGAAGTAGGCATAGACTAAATAGCTACGTTTGATTTCTATCTTAGTATTGTTTACAACCTTTAGTTTCTGTATAATATCCCAATTAGATTTTAATTCCCTTTTTAACAAATGATCCAAAATTGAAAATAGATTCTAGAATTGAAGTAATAATTAAATTCTTTATAAGTTTTCTTAGCTACGAAGGAAACTAATTCTGTGATTAAACGCATGCAGGGTAAGCAAAATCAAAATCTTTTAAGCTTGACATAAGCATAAATTACGTTTCTGAGGCAGTCAGAAATAAAAATTCGTACAATTACCTTAATGGAGGATGTTGACATACTACTGCAGTCACCATTTTTTGACATCTTTACCAATAAGGCATAAATTATAATCAAGTCTTTAGGAACTGGCCGTATAGTTCCACTCGATGCCATGAAGGCTAACTGCTTTAGTGTTTGATCTATACTTAAAGTTCCTGAAAAAAACTAATTTGCAATATTTGCTGTCACAATTTTATTATTTTGAAAAGTAGCATTTATTAGAATATTATAAATTGCTGGCTGAAAATTTGAAACAGTAAAATCTAAACTTCAATTTCCTTAGCGTCTCTTAAGCTCAATGCCATAAATACTTGCTTCTACCAACTGAATTGTGCTATGCATGATCACCTAATTTTTAGTATCACTAATTATCGTTCTTTAGTCATATAGTGATTAATTTAAGGTTAAACGGTAAGTATTCTAACTTCGATATCCATCGTAGCTCACAGATTCAACAACAATATCGACTATAAGTTCTTACTGAAATTTATAGCCGTTGATTACCTGGGTTTGCAATATCCAAAGTTGCTCACGTGTATTTGCAGTAGCGTTCTTTAACGCTATCCCATAAGATTGTTGTACGGGTATGCTACTTTGGCATTGAAATCCACAGTCTAAACCGTAAATAAATGCAGAAATGGAAAATTGTCTAAAATTATAACAAGTTGCTATACAGTTCATACGATTTCTACGGTGCACTTCAATTTTAGATAAAAATAGCGCAACGATTAGTCTTAACTGTTGCAGGTAGTCTACTAAATATTATAACTATGTCATATGCAAGACACAATTTATTTGTCATGATTACCGGATTTTATCTTATAATGAATCATAGCTGCCAAGGCTTTGCCATCAAGCGATTGATTTTGCAAAAATGGTTTTAGGTTATAGAAAAGATGGTTATTATAATATTCACTTTGGGGATAATATTTATCATGAGGAATAAAGTAGGTTGAAGCAGATGGCAATGGAACTTGTAATTCGTTAGTACACGTTAATACCAATGGATTATAACTTGCAAATGTTATAGTCCCCAAGCAGATGGCTATAAAGTAGAATGTGCGCGATATGCTACACACAGTTGATGATCTTTCAAATTGCATATCGGATGGCTGCAAAGGGAATCCACTCCACAACTAATCTGTTCAAATTCGTTGTACTGAATTGTCGTCACTGTAATTACACTTTGTCCTGGATCTTTTTACTTAAGTATTCACGGAAACTGTTGTGTAGGAGGCGGGCAATTCCTTCAAACTCATATGTGTAATGATGTAAGTACAAACTAAAGCGAGCTTATGTCCAACTGGTATGTAAAAGCCACAATGCGATTATCGACTGTTCGATGGCTTAATTTGATTAATCATGACCATTTAGCAGCTTTCCAATATAAGTAACAATAGTGTGACTAGTAGTATTGGAAGCAAATCCACTAAACTGTTACTTCTTTAGAGGGTTCTGTAGAGATTGAATTGCTAACAAAATTGAACATCCTTTGAGGAATCACTGTATCCCGATAATTATTTCTGCTACTGTAGAAACAAGATGAGATATGATTTTGCTGAATTCCTTTGATCTATGATTTAAGCTTTAACTTCCTAGATTTTAAAATATTAAGTTCATAATTATTGTAAGGTTCAGTCTTATTCGCTAGTACATCTTTGATAGAAACTTTTTTCTATATAATATGCTAATACCCATTAAGGCGTTGCAACTAGCTATTTAGGCTATACTTGTACTGCAGTTCTTGATGAAGCTTCATGCATTCGCAATTTTGGGTATTTAGTTTAAACTTGCGTAAATATCTGCATCGCAACGAAAAACTTATAAGCACCTTTATATTTCAATGTCTTATACAGCATATTATTCTGATACAGAATGGAATACAACGTATTTATCCATAATTTTGAGAGCAATGTACAAGAGATACGTGATAGTGATTTCCTAATTGAATATAAAATAATACGTGTCCATTGCAAAATACTTATAAATTCTAAAATTTTTTACCACGGTAACTAGCTATTATTATTACCGTAAAGTAGGATCGAAATTAGATTGGCTCACCATATCCAGAAGATAATTTTGTTATCATAAAGATTAAAGATTATAAATAAAATTAGAGTCATTATATCGTGAACTAGATGATACTATTTACACTACTTCAAATTGCATGCAGGACGATCTAAGAGCAGTTCCAATACATGGTTTAATTAGTTAATATCGTACTGCAAGGTGAAAATGTTATTTTTAAGGATAATTAAAAGTATATAATATAACGAATATTTGGCATAAATTTCTGAAGGCTTGCTATCCATAAGCATCAGCAATAAATTATGAGCTAATAATAGTTTAATATTTTCTTCATCTTTTATCACTATTTTTTTTAACATGCATAACTTAAAATAAGCAAGTTAGTCATTGATCGTGACATTTCTTTCAGTACTCTAACACTTATTTATTAGCAATACAGTACAGTATAATTTATTTCATGCCTGCAAATTTAATTAAAATGCTGGCCAAAATGCATAATAAACGCCACTGCACCTTGATTTATATCTTAGGAATACTATTTCTGTCGATCTGATACTAATTAGTATCCACCATAAACCTCAGAAAATGTATTTGTGTTGATTATTTCTAACCAGTATACATTTAGGTAATAAAATATTAGAATCGTCGAGAATACTATTTCTAAAATTGTCATACGATTTAATCTAATCCAGTACGCTAATGATAATAAATGATTTCCCATCCTTTCATAACTACCTGTTATTAATTATTGCTGGATCGTGAGCGTTGTGCTTTGGTGGTAGTCATTCTTTAGTAAGGTCAAGGCAATAGTATCTCAAATTTTATCAATATCAGATTGCTTCATTATTTTCCCTAGGTTTTATCGCAAACTACAAATTATTTGTGATTCCCGTTAGATTGGTTGATGTTTCTGCAAGATATCACAGCCGGACCAATTTTCTTTACTATAGAGCGTCTCCATCGTCATATGTATTACAAGAAGTAAATTCTCTAGTTACGATACAATATTTCAAATTTAATCAAATTTATAACTATTGAATAATAGCCAGTGTAGGCATTGATTTGATCAAATGCCATCAATATGAGCGGATATTCTAGAATTGCTATCTAAGGCTGCATTTGTTAATAATAGAATTTAGCAAGCTCATAAATGAGATTTGTATAACTAATATATGATATGAGTGTACAATATACCATACGCAGCCTAATTTTTGACGGACTTTGCTAGCGATAGATTGAATGCCTTCAATGTAGTTGTAATTGCAAGAAATTTTTAAGAATGATTAGTATGTAATGAACTTTTTTGGGGCATAAAGTGTAATATTTGAATAGGATGATGTCATGACACAACTCTCCGTAGAAATAAGTTTACTGTGCCATTAACCGTATTGTGTACAACGTTAAGCATATGTTAGAATGCGTAGAAGCAAAGAAAAGGTGTAGCTCAATGTGATACGTATTAAAATAGTAGCCAATCTGGCTGCTATAAAAATTAAATATTTATCTTATTAGCACGGGATTCTAACTACAGCATAAAGAGTTCCTTGATTGTCGTTTATTATTTGATGTAGCTTAAATTAGAACCTGTAACGATTCTATTTGATGTCGCTATTATATTCTGTATTACTGAAATACTTCTGGATGAGCTAGCAAAGTAAATATCAATCAATAATGACGTTATCCTTTCTAAGTTTATGCATAATGTAATATGGATCTGATACAATAATTGCCAATCCAAGATCTACAACTTGATTGCTATTGGTATATATGTATATAGTACTACTATACTGATCGACACTGTATCATTCCAGGTCTGGAGTTAAATACGATTTTGTGAATTTATCGTAGAAATAGAAGAGCAATATTGCTTCTACTAGAAATTTTGTCGCAACGGTAAAGAATTGATCATTAATATATTTCAAGAGTAACTATTAGTATGTTTCATATTCAGATGCTCTAGAATATAGTATTCTATTATTCCAATACCGTAATATTACTTTTATACAACCATTGCCAGCTGTTTCATTTCACAACAATTTCTATTTCGTTAACAAGAGAACGATCAAAACGAAATATTGAAAATGTTAAGCTTTATGAAAATGGCTATGTTTGGAATAAAGTCCAAATGGCTACTACCTGCTGTTATCGATTTCTGGATACTGTGTTTTATATTTGTTGGAGTGGGTTTGATGATAAATGCTGCTGCCGAAAAAATTAATAAACAACTAAAGAAGTATCGTGAACGCAAGCGGTAAGAACGATAAAAAATGCAAATTTTTATTTTATAAAATGGATTAAAATTAAACCATGTTGCTCTCATGTCTTTGATTTTATAGAGCAAGACTTCTGTAATTGTGAATTCAAGATAGAATTTTGAAGAGATCTCTTTTTGGGGTGTTTTCTTTGACTGTTATATGACATGGTCGCTAAGTGTTGGCGATCCATAAGAAAAGGCTAATTTATCATGGACGAGTACATATGTGTTTAACATGAAGGAGTTCCTGACTTAAGTTAGCATTATTCGATTTTGCTTCATTGCTTTTGTTTTTATCATCTACAATCGCCGAATAGTGTATATTTACTCTCATACTATGCTCAATACTTTAAGATTCTTATTCCTAAGGAAATTTGTAAATCGTTGTACATTATTATCCGTTAAAGGGTATCATTTTAATGATTTAGAAATCAAACTGTTCTACTTTCGATACACAGTCCCAAGTACTGTCTACTATCATCCGATAATATAAGAGATATACCTATGCAGACTATATATTAATGGATAGCGTTATCTTGCTCATAGAAGGCATTTTTATTTTTATTTATGATCGCTGAAAGCAATATCAACTAGTTACTAACGAAAGTTGTGATGATAATGGTTTAATTAATACGATAGATTGCTAAAAGTAATGGTTCTGATTAAGGAATATCATGCAGTAGTAGCACCGCTTATTTTGTGTCAGTGTCCTACTTGATATCAATTAATACATTAAAGATATACGCTATGAATTAATAAGCGGCTAATACTATTTTACATCTCGTATGTGATTGATGACTACTTTCAGTACATCCAATGATGTTGATCACTGTTTCGTACTTACACGTATCTTGTAAGTTGTGTTCAATGAATAATTTATTTACGGTTGTGGCTTTAATGATTACCTTGGTTCAATCGATCACGAAATAATTTAATTAATGCAGCATACTATTCGACGAATGCGTTAGTAACCTATCGATCTTGAATAAAATAGAATAAAAGGATAAAATTTTCAAACTATATAATGTAATCTTTGAAACAAGCATGCAGAGAAAGTATTAGACCATGAAATTGGAATGTTATGTCTTGCTACTGATTATGTACCGTATTAATGAGGCATAGAATTAAAGTTGTGAACATAGGCGTATTAGCGATTTTGTAATGGAAAATCTTCAAAATTTTCAAGCTATATCATGTCATTTTTGAAATAAGCGTGGCGAGAAAGTATTAGACCATGAAATTGGAATTTTATGCCTTGCTACTGATTATGTACCGTATTAATGAGGCATAGAATTAAAGTTGTGAACATAGGCGTATTAGCGATTTTGTAATGGAAAATCTTCAAAATTTTCAAGCTATATCATGTCATTTTTGAAATAAGCGTGGCGAGAAAGTATTAGACCATGAAATTGGAATTTTATGCCTTGCTACTGATTATGTACCGTATTAATGAGGCATAGAAATAAAGTTGTGAACATAGGCGTATTAGCGATTTTGCAATGGAAAATCTTCAAAATTTTCAAACTATATCATGTCATTTATGAAACAAGCGTAGCGAGAAAGTATTAGACCATGACACTGGAATTTTATGCCTTGCTACTGATTATGTACCGTATTAATGAGGCATAGAATTACAGTTGTGAACATAGGCGTATTAGCAATTTTGCAAAGATTGAAAATTTTGAGAATAAAGAAACTTGAATGATTTTGGGCTTAACTGAATGGTATAAACAGGGAAATTGTGTGTCAATGATATATATATACGTGTATATATAATTGTAGAGTAAAGTAAAAAAGTCCAAGGATATAGAGGTATAGCAAGCGAAGGATACCGAGCGAGGAATTTACTAATCGTAATAACGTGTTGGCATATACTCCATGATGCGCCTTTGCTGCTTGCAAATGGATTAACGGCATTTTGTGAACCTTACTGTAATTCAATAAGGAGGTCATGGTAATGTGATTATGTAGTCATTGACTAATTTACATAAGGCAAAGCTTGATATTTCAAGTGATTGATAGTCATTAGGTTGGCTTAAATGCTATTGGCGTCTTTTTTCTTTCAGGTATCATTAGAGTTCATCAATCTGACTCATCCAATGCAGGCGCTGGTATGCGGGTTTAGCTACTTTTGGATTGCAAATCGAAGGGGTTACAAAGCCCTTCACGACAATGTTATTTCGGCAAAATGCATAAGTTAAAATCTTAAATTTTTTGGTATCATATTCTATTGAGGATAGAACATAGACAGCTCGTTAGGCGATGTCTGTCAGGGTATTTTAGAACACCATCCGACCAGCGAAACTGCTGAAAATACTAAAACATAGACAGCTCGTTAAGCGATGTCTGTCTGGGTATTTTAGAACAATATCCGACCAGCGGAACAGCTTAATTACTAAAACATAGCCAGCTCGTTAGACGATTACTGTCTGGCCATTTTAAAACAACGTCCAACCAGCGAAACTGGTAAAAATACTAGAACATAGACAACTCGTTAGGCGATGTCTGTCTGGCCATTTTAGAACAACATCCGACCAACGAAACTGGTGAAAATAATAGAACATAAACAGCTCGTTAGGTGATGTCTGTTTGGCTATTTTAGATCTACATCCGACCAGCGAAACTGCAGAAAATAATTAGAACATAAACAGCTCGTTAGGCGATGTCTGTTTGGCTATTTTAGATCTACATCCGACCAGCGAAACTGCAGAAAATAATTAGAACATAAACAGCTCGTTAGGCGATGTCTGTTTGGCCATTTTAGATCTACATCCGACCAGCGAAACTGCTGAAAATAATTAGAACATAAATAGCTCGTTAGGCGATGCCTGTCTTGGCCATTTTCGAACAACATCCGACCTGCGAAATTGATAAAAATTTAGCGGAGTATACTGTACTGTAGTAAGCGTAGCACACAAACTACACTACTGCATGAATATGATTCGTTTGGATTAGTACAGTATAAAAGCATTTTATAACTTTGCTTCTTATTTACTGCGAGATCCGATGGCAATGGAGCCTGTCCAATCTCATTGCAATCCGAAATGCATAAGCCATTTTTGATCAATCCCACTCCAATCGACAAACGCGAAGGACTCACTCTGTACTCAGTACAGGACACGGGCTATGGTGATTTAGCACAGCCACTGTGCCGCATTAACTGTAAATTAAATTAAATCAATAAATGTATTGTGGGCTTGAACAGGATTGGATCCTGCTAAAATTGAAATCCTCCTCTTGTCAATATCAAATCTTATATTCTCGATCATGGAGTCCATAGAATACGACGACATATATGGTCGCCGTGTCAGTATCTATCATCCTGTAGTATAAACATGTACTATCGATGAATAATAATATACGTCTACTTGTTCCTTTTTTCCTCGTTCATGGCACAGTATTAAGGATTTCACTTCGAGAATATCCCTAGAACGCCATGATGCCATGCTTACTCACTGCTTAGCATGAATAGAATGTACAGACTTCCGGACTTTGTGATTGCAGTGATATAGGCGCTGGCGTGGTATTAAGCCAGTAAAAACATCGAAAATTGAATTAGTTTGTCATTATTAATTCTAATCATCGATCCAAGACGTCTAAATCATCGACTTTAATCTCCAATTATAATAACACTGGTGTATTCAAGTTCTTGCATCAAGTGGATTGGTAGAAAGACATTCATCATTATTGCGATCGACTGTGAAATTGCTCAATTGAAGGTTTGTGAAGGAATGAGCTTACTGCCATTGCCATCACTCAATACTCGACTTGTAGGTAGAAACGCCAACATACGACTATGGCAGCTGCAAAACGTCGCCAACAAATGAAATCTCGCCTATCGACTTATGTTAGCGTTGATTTAACTGATTATGCTGTAGTGGATCATGAAGACTTTAATACTGCTTTATGTTGGACACCTCTAACCAATAAAAAACACATCAACGAAGCTAAATTACTATCCTATTTTGATCACTTTCAAATCTATGCAACGACGCCTACGGCACTCAAGAAAACTGTCCGTAAAGGTGTTCCATTAAACCAGAGAGCTCAACTATGGTTTGAATGCAGTGGCGGTAGAACTTTCTTAACCAAACATCCTACGTTATTTGATGAAAATCTAGCAGGTAGCAACGGTGAAGCAAGATTTCACCCATCAAACAGTTAAAGTACCTTAGTGTACAGGATACACCTTCAATTGAGATACGATAGACGCACAAGTAGAAAAAACTACTTTAGGATAACCATCAGTCAATATGTCTTAGACTACTTGTATACGATATGACTTGTAGCATATGCCGGCATCAATAGTAATGATGAATCCTTTCATTTGTAGAATTTGTTTTTCCTGATCCTTTACCTGTTACACATTACGAAGCTGAATTAGATGTCTCATTGGATCATTTGACAGAAAGAGGTGTTGCATCGCTAAGAAGATTATTAATGATGCTCTATCATGAATTTCCACACATTCCCTCATGTCCTTTACTGCCTGCCATTGCATCATATTTTCTCTTATTTATGGAGGATAGAGAATGTCATGCTTGTATGTCAGCAATTCTACAATCCATCGATGATAACTATTTCGATTGTTCACAGAGGAGTTATGCAGCATCTCTTAGAACATTCCAGGATCTAGCCAAAGTATTATTGGTAAGTGTTGAAAGTTTAACCCAATGTCCTAACTGTGATCGTTCCAAGGGTACACAGCCATGATAACTCATTATCCTTGGTGTAGCTAACATACTGTAATTATGGCGCTTTTTGAGACTTGACTAGACACCGATCGGTTTCTTAAGCCGTTTGTAAGCTCTGCAACTATTTTAAAATCAGTAGAGTTCATTCATAATACGGATTGTCCTTATAGGAAATTCTATAAAATACTATCTCTCTTAATGTACAATTGGAAAGTGCTAACAAAGTCAGTTCTATTTTGTAGAAACCTGTTTACCGAGATGTACTCAACACTGTCGCAAAGAGTAAAGGAGAAGACAAATCCATTATTTTCCAGGATTGGATGGTTTGGATATTTAAATACTTACCTAAGGATGTTGTGGTTAGTAAATGTAGAGTAAAGTACTCGCACGCGACTGTATATTATGTGGGATTGATTAGTTTTGAGCAATAGCATCCATATTTTCTACATAATCCTTGTGTTTAAATAAGTGTGTGTCCGTCCATAATGATAATAAATGCAATTTTCTATTTCTGGCTTAATATTTCAGATTCGAATGATAGATTGCTTCATGATTGAAGGCAGAAAAATATTCTACCGTATGGGTCTGGCTATTCTAATTATATTTCATAAGCATTATCTGCGAAATAATAGGGAAGGTAATTCAATGGTTACAGTAGCCAATTTTACCTTTCCGATTGAATACATTGTGTTATAAATGTTATTATTGATCATGAACTGCAACTGGATCTCTGGTTCTTTGATAGGCTTGAGAACATTCAATTCTACACAGTTGGAGTCTATTCGACAGTTTGTAAAATTTTTGCCTGTTAGTTCCGATTTATTGCTGAAGGTGAGTCGAAGGCTATTTATCATCTATCTGATGATTATATGTAAATTATTTATTGTATTTTCCTTCTTATGCTCTATTGAATTGAACCTTCAAGATGCCTTTATATTACATTCAATCATTCATTTCATTTGACTATTTAGACTGGCTTTAATATCAGTGGACTATCTAGGAAGACTATGACAAAGTATTTTGAGCACAATAAGCGTTTAATTGATCAAGGAAAGTTACTCTATCAATTCGACAAGACTACCAATGCTGTCGTCGTTGGTCCGTTACCTGATCAAAATTCCAATATTGTAGAGCCTAAGCAGGTTAATAATATGAATTATACGCTCAGTTTATATAGCTTCAAGTTATATTTTTAGATACTATTAATTACCTCATTTTACAACTTTTGCAAATTTATTTTATGACTAAATGAGACTTGATATACAATATCTGTATTTTAATGTAAGCTTATTGCACGATATTATATGTCATAGCTAATGGCTTTTATTTGTCGTTTAGTGGAGCCAGATATGGAATATGATTCCTGATCGATTCTACATAAAGGTCCCCATTATGCTGTTTACTAGTGCAGAACATGGTTGCAGTTTGAAGACATTCTATCTTAAGGCTGCTGATCACGAACCTATGGTACTATTGATTAAAACGTTGGAAGGAGAGGTATGCCCAGTTGAAACTAAACTTGTACTTTTCCTACTTTTTGTAACTTGATTGGTTTGCTAATGATTGAGTTTATACCGCTATATAACTGTTTCTTTTCTCAGGTTTTCGGAGCTTTTGTCGCGGCTAGTTGGGAGCGACGTAAGAAACACCCCAATTTGTCCTTTTTTGGGACTGGAGAATCATTTCTCTTCACTCTCACTCCGGAGGTAGAGAGGTATGCTTGGTGTGGTAGAGTAGCATATGAGATGATGATGAAGAACAGTAGTGATGCTGGTGCCAAGGCGGCCTCAAAATTTTCAAGTATGAATGCTACCGATAAGCGATTAGCCTTTCAGCGGACTCGGACAGGATCCCTCGAAAATTTTTGCCATTATTTTATGGCTGCTGACGATAGCTGTATTATTATTGGTGGAGGGTAAATGTAACCAGATTTTGTTCTAATTTTGGAGTTGATTGTACGATACTTTCTGTCAAGTTTACTTCTAAATATGATATCATGATAGCTTAGTCCAATCTTACAGCTAGCACCAATTAAAACACTTATGCATCCTACATATACACTTATTTTCAGGGATGGATACGGCCTGTGGCTAGATGCTGAGCTAAATAAAGGGTCAAGTGCTCGATGTCAGACTTTTATGAATCAGCCGTTAACGAATAGCAAAGATGGCACGTTTGTTTGTGCATGCGTTGAACTTTATGGACTGATTGATACTTAGATTTATCATTTTGAAAGTGAATCATTTGATAGTGCTGATTGTAAAGCGATAGCAAAGTCTTATAGATAAAAGCACTAATCTATCTTCAGAAATCTCCTAATCTTTTCTATACGTACTGTATGTAGAGAGTAGTGAATTTATTGCAAAGTACTATCTGCATACCATAATACATTTGGATGAGTACAAAGATGTTTGATAGTACGGCATTGAAATACTGTACATTTTTAATTTTAATTTCAGAAATTAAAGTTGATTTCTACCGTAAATCCTCAAAATATTTAGTATAAAAACAGGTGGAATACTATGTTAGAACTTCACTAGAAAGATATTGAATGAACTTTACGTTGGGCGATGCGTACCTGATGATTTATTATATATCGCAAATCTTTGCGTATTTCTTCCTGTATGGAGATTTAATACTAGCTAATGTATGTAATGGATTGATTGATTGCTTTATTGTATCTGTTTAATACTGTAAGCTTGTAACCTTACTGGACAAATTATAACACATTTGCCATCAATTTCAATTTCATATTACCTCGCACTTTAGCAGTTTACCTCTTTAAAATTTAAATGAAATAAAATGCGCATGTAGTAGGTTATTGTAATAATGTGATACTTGCCTAGAAGTACCGATTACAATAGGTATTTCTAGTCAGGTATCACATTCGCCTTGCAATGATTTAATTATTGATGCAAGTAGAGCTCAATATCATTTCATCAACACGCAAACGTAGTTTATGAACTTAGGAGATTTGAAGTTGAATGCAAATTACGAAATTATAAATTTTTGAAACACTTCTCACAATAAAAATGCGTTTTTCACAACGTTAATCCTTCAAGCTAAAAAGTGATTTAAAAATCTGAATGTGCTGAAAAAGGAATAAACAACCGGAAGTGTCCTATTCTGATATTTACTTATAATGAATATAAAAATGAAGTCAGACTCGTCAATTTAAATTGAAGGGAGTAAGTTCTTGAGTAATGACTTAAGTGAATTTTACTTATCCATATCCATTACTAACTACCATCAAGATTGCTTGAATAGAATAAATGCAAGCATGTTGCAATGTAATACTGTCATCGATTTATTCTCAGATATTATCGCTACCTACGGTGCAGTCGGTCATGGACTACAAAATAAAATAGTGTTTTTTAAAATGGATCTTTTTAATAGTCCCTTACTAACTACCATCAAGATTGCTTGAATAGAATAAATGCAAGCGTGTTGCAATGCGATCCTGTCATCGATTTATTCTCAGATATTACCGCTACCTACGGTGCAGTCAGTCATGGACTACAAAATAAAATGGTGTTTTTTAAAATAGATCATTTTAATAGTCACTTGTATAGTAAAAGTATATTCCAAATTGAGGATCAATCGAATACTTTGATTGAAATTAACTCCTTCTATAATCAATAAATGTACTTCAATAATACGAATAATTATTTCACCGCATCTTCCTGGTGCATCTCTTATACTACAAAGCAAGTCATTCAATCGTCAATTAGGCATCCATTAAAATCGCTTAGCATAGTAATTAGTAATAGCTGTTGTCACTTTTTATTTATCCAGCATATGAATAGATAGTTTTTCTACCCTACAAAAGTAAGTACGATCATAATCCATGTGGTGTTACAAATTGACACATATACTGTATATTCGCAGAATACCATCATACAGGTAACCGGTCTGATCAGCCATTAGCAATAGGCGACTTTAGCCAAATTTGTGCTAACGGTTTCATGCGTTTCTGTAATGGCGGTTGCCTACAATATATGCGTACACATGCAGTAATGTCCATGATGGAATTAGTATCGTATTCCTTGACCATAATCAATTAATAATGGCAATGTTACTTCTTCTAGCAATATACTCGTACGTTCAAATTTAGCGTTATTGGATTCCGATGATACTTGATTGCGTTATTACCAATCGAATCGATAGGACAAAATTGATTCAATACAGGAAGTCCATGTTATAGTTAGAGTTTGTCCTACTTGCAGTAGTATGATAGAACAAAATTAATTCAATACAGGAAGTCCATGTTATAGTTAGAGTTTGTCGTACTTGCAGTAGTATGATAGAACAAAATTAATTCAATACAGCAAGTCAATATATAGTTAGGATTTTGAATTAAGAAATGTTTGCATAAACACATTACAGTATAAACGTATATGTAGTACTTCTATTTTATACTTGTATAATGTAGAATTCAATATATTTACTCGATCATAGTATAATTTTTCCTTCAAACACTTTCTATAGGCGTAGATCACTCCGCCTCTTGGTAGATTGGTTCACGTTAGTTTGTTCAAGTCTAGAAATGCCACCTGCTAGTGTTGTTCAGTGCTGTAAAAATGGCATCGTATGATGGAGATGAAGACGTTATGCTAATAATTTATGGAGAGATTGCGTTAAATCATCAAAGTTATAACCATACGGCCCTGGACCACCCTTGTAAAGGATCTTATAGTCATCAGAAACGACATAAAGGCGTTCAGGTACTGCATCGTAAAGATTTGATGTAGTATCATCGATATCGTCTACAACGATAGCATGCTGAAAAGAAGAGTTTTGGATAAAGGCTTGCGCGACTTTCATCCTATCTTCTAATGTTTTAGGCTGTTTAAAGCATATCCCCAAGTCTTCATTCATACCTGATAATCTCCAGCCGTCAGTAGCATGAGCTTCACGAATATAAATGGTAATAAATTCCACACGATCACCAAATTGACGACAACAATCGTCATATTGAGGAATGGAACGACGAAATGGGGGTCAGGTATAAGAACCAAAATTGAGGACAGCTAATTTTTTATTGCTTTCTTGAATGATTTGATGGATATTGGTTACACCTTTATTAATAGTGTAGAGTTTACCAGCAGGTGCTTGTTTGCCTATTTTTAACGTTCCATATTGAATATAGGCTGATTGATCTTGGCCAAGTCGACCTAAAGTGTCTCTATCCATCCAATAGAATATATTTATTCTTGGTGAGTTGGCAATTAATTGCCGATAATACTTGATCCATATGATTGGATTATGGATAAAGCAAATCCAGTTTAAACGTATAAATACTAGCAATCCGTACAATGCTAGCAGCCATGATTTTAGACCATCAACGAAAGCCATAGCCAAATCGTACCGTCTAATGCACTATGTTGACTGAGATGTTTTGATTTACTGCTCAAACTGTGTTGAATGTCGGCAAGAGTTTACAAGGTAGCAAAATAGTTTTGGATGCCGAGGTAGCCTTTGATGACAGCAGCACCTACTTACTATAGTACTCAAGCTTCAGCAACTACTTAAGTAAGAAGAAAGGGAAGGGACAGAAGAAGGAAATGATGCTTGACTATGTCAATAATATAATGTGGAGGCTGATTAATTAGTTTACTGGTCATTTCAAATATATCGTATGTCTGCAACAGTACACTAAATAATAGTTGGCGATGGATATTTAAATGAGCTATTCTTAGCATAAAGGTAAGGAAAAAAAAAAACTACCAGTGCTAATATACCCACCCTACTCACTACTTAGTAATGGTAGAGATGCCGGCAGTCCATGATTGTTAGCTAGCCAAGTTGATTTTGTTCAGTATCGCATATAATTTCATTGCTACCGTAGCGGAGAATGGCTCGAAAAATGATCGATTCCATATGATGTTGCACTCAAGGCCATTTCTTGTTCCCATCTCTTCCTTTTTAGTACTGTCATCCCTAGTGACGGGCTGCAAACACCAATGCGATAATGGCGACATGGCGATGCCAATGCTCAAGCTTACTCAAGCCTGCTGACAAATACAACGGCTAAAATAATTGCCTAGAAATTTACGTCGGACATTGCCTGTTTGGCGTCTATTTAATTCATTCAAATTGCTACGATACTATACAGTACACTGTGGATCCATGTTGATCATTGCCTACGGTAAAAGAGAGGTCATTTTATTGAATGCATCCATCATCATGTCTCCATTTTGAACATGGTTCCTACTGGTGATGTTTGAAAATAGCTGATCGGTATACTGTAATACTATTTCAAGCTAGTATTTTGAAAGAGTGCTTCAAAATGATGAGCATCTCGTCAAGCTAATTGAGAAAGAGTCATGATAATATAGAAGATAGACTGTATATTATTTGGCGTCTATTTAATTCATTCAAATTGCTACGATACTATACAGTACACTGTGGATCCCATGTTGATCATTGCCTACGACAAAATAGAGGCCATTTTATTGAATACATCCATCATCATGTCTCTCCATGTTGAACATGATTCCTGCTGGTGATGCTTGAAAACAGCTCATCTACTGTAATACTATTTTTAAAGCTAGTATTTTGAAAGAGTGCTTCCAAATGATGAGCATCTCGTCAAGCCAATTGAGAAAGGGTCATGATAATAGAGAGGCTAGATCCTGTATATTATTCTACTGTATCGAATATATAATTTAATTTTGTCCACGTTTATTAAATTAGTTTTAATATCAGTGGACATCATTTTTCCAATCCTATCGCTTTTGAAGCATCATTCTATATACAGTATCCATAATATGGATTCCGCTATTGCAGAGACATTGAGACGGACACAAAGACGCATCCATAACTCTCCATCGGCTATGAACTACCAATAGAAAATAACTCGACGTTTCTTTGAGTAGTCTATGCCATAAAATGACACTTAATAATGCAGTACTGTAGCAAGTAGGATATTACTACTGTATTAAGAGATGAAAGCAAAACTGCCGAGAAATGCAGTTAAGCAAAGTAGACGACAGAAAATTTGCCTACCGCCATTTTGACTTGCATGCCGGCCGGCAACTACAGTACGCCGGCCACAGTACAACAAATTTGCTTGGTACTGTACACTGTACTGCTAGGGTTGGGCAGGAAGAAACATTCAATTAATTTTTTCCCATCTGCAAAACATTATTCCAAGATGGATCTGCTGGATTCAATCATGAAATCGATGGATAAACCGCCATCCTTATCGCAAAAAGAGAAAAAGATCCAACGGGGTAATTTGATATTAGATAAATCACTTACTAAATGTATCGGTTATTTATTATGGCTTTCCATCTTATGCAATACAATGGAAATGGCCCATCAACAGGAAAACACGTTGCACCAAGAAGAGCATGCCATGCATGTTCTTGGTGCAACAACGCTTTACTATCTTTCACGACATGTTATATTTGATAGTTTCAAATGGATGATCTCTCTTTTTCAATGACTCGACCAGTTAAACCTGCAATAGTAATAGATCATCGATAAACTAGTATATACAACTGTATATTTTGACTGCAATAGCTTATAGCCTTTGAAAAAGGGATACTGTACCATCACGATGTTAATGGTATATCAATGATTACAACTGTGTCTGCAGATAGGGATCTTATGGTAATATCGAGGAAAGACTACTGTTCTAATTGCTCATCGTTGATAACTAACTTAGTTGATTACTTAAACAGAGTAATCTTGCCATGGTTTTGAGCTTCAATTATTAATTGACAAGTAGAGATACTGCTATCACGATGTTAATGATATATCAATGATTACAACTGTGTCTGCAGATAGGGATCTTATGGTAATATCGAGGAAAGACTACTTTTCTAATTGCTCATCGTTGATAACTAACTTAGTTGATTACTTAAACAGAGTAATCTTGCCATGGTTTTGAGCTTCAATTATTAATTGACAAGTAGAGATACTGCTATCACGATGTTAATGATATATCAATGATTACAACTGCGTCTGCAGATAAGGGATCTTATGGTAATATCGAGGAAAGACTACTTTTCTAATTGCTCATCGTTGATAACTAACTCAGTTGACTGCTTAAACAGAGTAATCTTGCCGTGCTTTTGAGCTTCAATAATTGATAGGTACAGACGCTTATATCCCTTGTGCAGTACTATATACTCTTACTTTGGTAGCTTCTTCACCAATATTACGTACAGTACAACTTTCAGATGTCATTTTTAGGACTAGTGAAAATGAAGAATTACTATAAAATATGATATTGACTTAGCCTTACTCTGATGTAATACTTCACAATTCTTATACGGTTATTTGTTCTCTCTGGCCATTTGTAATTGGAATGCTACTCACGGTTCCTTAAGCAAGCGTTCATCGATGGAGAAAATCAAGATAGCTTCACTTTGGATATAACATAGGCTTACGTTGAGCTCCTATGAAAGTGCATATCCTAAATAGAGATCTGACGTAATCTAAAGCTTACGTACTGATATTCGTCTACAATGCTGTCTTATCACAAGAATTTATATAAACTACATACATACATACAGTACTCTAAGATCTACCTCTGGTTAAATCTTATATTCTACACGACTCTATACTAGATCTAATGATACTATTTTTCGTTGAGAGGAACAATCCTTGTGTCAGTAACCTTATTCAAGTGGAATATGTAATATGTATCATCTGCATAAAGCTCGTAATGAAGTAAATTAATCTTTGATGATCAAGGCTTACTCGTCATATTTTTCTAAGCAACGTTTTCCCGCCGATTGGAATATAGTACCCGTATGATCTTAAACAAGAGTTGCCCCTACCTGATGCTGATCGTTGTGTGTTGAATAAGTCGCAATCGTCTATATAACTTTTTTTCTCTTTACCATGTAGCTAAGAAAGAATTTTTGCAAAAACAACAAGAAAAGGAAAAAGAATCCATGTCCAAATTTAATACACAGGTATTAGCCTAACCGTTGCTTTCTTAAGTTGATGATCGGAATGTTTATCCTTGACCTAATATTGCTCTTGATCTATTAATTAGGTTCTAGACCAAATTTCGGTATTTATCAATGACGCAAATGCCAAAAAACTGACGTATGAACCGATGGATAAAATTCACCGAACTGCTATGTTAGTGCTTTCATAAACTCCAGTACTAATTTCATAGAGTAATAGATAGGATAATGATATGGAAGAAGGTTACAGCTTACGGACTAATAATTAATATAACTTAGAACTTAACAAGAAGCTCTTTTCTGCTTAATTTTGAATTTAATTTGTTTTCGTCGGAATAAACAAACATGTCAATTGACACAGTAGACAAATGGCAGATTAAACGATTGCTTTTTATCTTCGGTGACTTCACAATTCCCTAATATGATTTTAACCTATGTTAAACTAGACATGAAATAGTTGAAAATGCTGGTTTACTATCATACTCTTTCGGACAAGAAGGTGAATCTCGTTATGTAATGGTCTTCAAAAAGGTAGCGCCATAGCCTAGCATACCTGCTCATGTTAAGCCTTTCATTTATATTCTAATCAACATGCAATTATGTAAGATTTGATTTATCGTAACGAAATGTTAATTTCTAGGAATTTCCTCCATCCGAAGAAGAATTGGCCGCATATAGACGAGGAGAGGTTATTACTAATTTCTTATATTATTATGAAATGTTAAATACTTGGCATTTTAATGTGTTAGAGGCCTTTGACGAATTATTGTGTTAACATTCAACGGATGCTAATAGAATTCTCTGCTGCCTTTTCAAAGGAATATGATCCAAGTGCTAAAAAGGATAATACTGACATAGATGATCACCAAGAAGAGGATAAAATAAAAGACAGCAAGCCCAAGCGAGATTATAGGGAGAAATATATGAAAATAGTCGGAAAGGAGAGTGGCATTGAAGCTGCAAAAATCACTGTTCCTAATGAAAATTTTGGATTTGGTAAAAACATTACTAAAAAGTTAAATTAGTTATTTTAGTCAAGTTAATGTTATAATAATGTATTAGTAGTGACAGTGTAACTACATAGTCGTTACGCATGGTTATGAAAATGTCGTGTCTGCTTATAAATAATGATACATACAAAGTAGTAGTAAGCATTGAATTTTTCTTCATTTCCATTGCAACCCTTTGCAGTACCAAGTAGTAACAAAAGAGATCAGCGCTCGATTGAGGAAACTCTGAACGAAATTCGTTCCCGAAAGCGTTCTAAGAAGGAGACTGATGCTAAGAACGAAGGTGAAGACTCTGGTGAACAGAAACAGTAACTCTAATATGTGTAACTTTTATCAATTTTCGAATGTTGACTATTTGTAGGCATTGAAAATGTCGTTTGTAAAGTTTTTTATTTATACCTCAAATTGTAATACCCTATTTACTGTAAATACGTTCTCGTGAGTGTTATCATTTGCTTATATTCAATATTTAAAGCTTAAACAAGTATATGTATTATGCAGTCAGTGACTACATAATGTCTTCATCACTTGTACTTGATATACAAATATTAACATATACTTTGCACGTTACCATGTCCTTGCGAGCATCATCTTCTCATTTCAATGTTTACAGTAGTACCTCTCCCATTTTTCTGCTAGTTAATTTAATATAACTAAACATCAGTTTATCATCGTAAATGGTTACTTTCATCATGTTATATGATAGCTATTGTAATCTATTGCGGCTAAGTATAGTTTCAAAGCGTGTGTAGATGGTAATCGATACGAACTATTGTTTCGTAATAATTGAAAACATGTTTAAGTACAAAATATAAATATGGCAAAGTTTCAATAAAATTCTTTTATTGTTCGATATTTTCTTCCAAAAAATTAAATTTAAACGCTTGATCTTTCGTCGATTTTTCATCCACATTTTTGCCGCTATTTGCATTCTACCATAAACAGTAATCATGTCGCATATAATCATATTTAATTAACTGACAATCTTAAATATAAGGATCGCTTCTCTATCAGATATTAACCTGTAAAGTATAGGACTTTCTATAGACCCTTCCGACTTTTTTTTCAGGGTTGATCTTCTTAATACTCGATTGAGAAATCTTCATACTTGCTAAATTTAGATAGATATCGAATGATAGTATATAACAATTCAAAAATACTGGCAAGACTTTGATAGGAAATGCACTTCTTAGCAATCATTATTCAGACTACAATAAGTGTTCTAGTGAATCATAATGGTGGTAATTATTCCATACAATGTAATTTTAAATTTAAAACTACAGTAATTATTTCTTAAAGGAGGGAAATCGGTCATTTTACCTGTTGCTTGCTCAAGAAGAGACTGTTTAACTTTCATTTTGTAATCGCCAAAAGTTTGTCTTAGTAATATTTTCTTTTTGGTCTATGAAAGAAAAAGACAGAATGTACACGATCACTATCCATCGACCATTGAGAAATATTTAATCCTGTATTAACTGATCCTTCATATATCTTTTATTAAAGTAGTCAATGAATCCAATATGCATTTAATAACTAATAAAGTATAGCACAAGATCTTTATTTACGAAAGCCAAACAATGTCATTTTGCCAATAATAATACTTCTTTCGTTTAAACACAATAACGTCATCATAGTATAAGTTATAAGACTAGGGAAAAGAAACCCAATGATTACCTCAGGAGTTTTCTTCGATTGTAGAATTCGTAATAATTTTTGAGAATATTCCACTATAACATGAGAATGATGCAAATTGAACTACTTTATTTCATTGATAGCACAGCAGATAGACGATTGATTGACTGTGTCTTTCCATAATTACAAGTGCAGACACCTACCAGCTTCTTTTTTATCTTTATTAGAAATAATGCCCAATTCTAATTGTTGAATAGCCCAAGCCAGTTCCTCCTCGAATTCTATCTGCAAGTAAATATCCGTTATATTTGTTACGCACAAATTTCCAATTGAACAACCTACTAACACTATTTCAAGCAAATACGAGATATTTGACTATGATTAAGCGTTGGATAACGCGCAAGTAATTCTTTTAGGTATGAAACTTACTCCTTCGTTTTCCGCTCCATTTATCTGTCAACAGTTTAATTGTAGAACAAATTTAATTCATTTTAAAAATTATCAGCGTACGCACAATTATGCTATGTTGACTACGTAGACTATATGGAAAGCATATAGAAAAAAGTAATGATATATTGTAATAAGTTATTCTTCATTTATGCAATACAGTTCAAGTTTTAGCTCTTCAAAAAATAAATAAACATCAATATATCTTAGTAGTTGATCATCCTCTCGTATCCTGTACATGCACTAAATTAAAGTGATTTGAAATAACATTTTAGAGCCAAGTCGAAGATAGAATTGACTTGGAGAAGTGGAATACTAAAAGTCGCTATCCTTCGTCCGGAATACGAGGATAGTGTGATATCCGTCCCTACATGAAGTCTTAAGCGCCATATTGTATATCGAGATTTGGATAACAATTACTGTAAGTAGATATTACTCTACAGTTAATAACCATTCGAAAGTGGTGGACCTTTGGTATAGAACCAATATTAATAGGAAGTAGAGGACTAGGACTAGATCGAGTTTAATATGATAATAATGACTGTAAGTAGATATTACTCTACAGTTTGTAACGACTAATCTTTGCTGTAGAATCAATTTTAAAAGGAAGTAGAGGACTAAAGCTAGATCGAGTTTAATGCGATAGGTCTACTGTAGGTAAAAATGATTGCGAACGATTGGGAATTTTCTACTATTTCATTCAAGGTTGATACTCCTGCTTCGTTAATGTATGAATTATGAAGACATTGAATAGACCCAATACTAGTAATAAACTCGTTGAATTTGCGATACCTTTGCTGGTGCTATCAGCTCACATCATGATGTATAGCTTAGTAGTACACTAGTAACTGTCATGTACAACCTCCTGTTGATGATCTGCTTTTGATTCCAACTAAACCCAAGTTGCGAACAAAAGATCTGTTCTCAGGAAGTATTTTATCGTATACGAATGATCATACATTCTACTTCGATGTCGAGAGTAACTTGTCATCGGAATAAGTTACAAGATAGGACAATTTCATCGACAACTGCCTAGCTCATCGCAGTCAATGCAACCGTTCTACTTAAGCTAAGAGTTGATAACCAATTTGACAGAAAACTTTCCATTACTCCACCATAACTAATTCTCATCCATTTTACCCCTGTAGCAACGATAGTCAAAAGGCTTAGCTGAAAGTTGTCGCTTACCGTCGAGGCTGCAGAATTAGCAGAAGTAACGTTTCCTTTCTTGGAATTTTTTACTTCTTCTCTCCGCTTTCTATTTCTAGCTTGCGTTTTACTTAATTTCTGAGAAGTAGCCATTGCTATATACTGTATATGCAATCGTAAAACTTGTGAAACCTTCTCTATACCATTGATTTCCCAAATGATCGTATCCACTGCTGCAATGGCTTCCTTCTCAAGAGTCGATGGCCATCAAAGATGCTCACTCACTTCAATCAACCTTGACACTATCCTATTGCCGATATTGCTAACCAACGATAAGCTCAATAACAGTAGACAGTCCTTCTTATAATAATTTAGCTTGCTATGGTAAGAATTTGCTCCTTCTTGGGCTTGAAGTTTGCAAGTTTTCCAAAGCAGTTTGCAAAATCTTGCTAGAAGCAAATTACAAGAAGTTCAAGTGTTGATATCGTCTTGTTTCCTTTGGATCTTATATATAATTATATGAAATACTAGTGGATGTTTGAGCACTGTATGCGTACCAGCTCAATGTCCCAGCACAACCATCCGTTGCATAGTAACGACAGTACAACTACACAAACATGGCATCGAAATACAGGAAAGGAAGGGGTAAATTGATACGATGGCTGGACTATTTTAGCTCAGGTCCACCATTCCATTAAGAAAGGCAAAGCTGGCTACATTGCAGATCAAGAAGAAGCTCCATAGCAAGATAAATGGATCAATTTTACTGTAGTTACTGTTAACGAGCTTGAAGTTAATAGCATCAGTGAGATATCTGCTAATTAAGAATAGTGTGTTTGTATGCAAGAGGATTTGCCAATGCAAAAGCTGCAGTGGACTGCAGGATTGCAGAAAGTTGTCGACAAATGCAACTCTTTCTACTTGCCAGGTCTGCTATCCAATTTTTAATTACCTTATGATGTAGTCTATACATTCTATATGAAGCTCAGGAAGTACTGAAGATATTTGCATTTTGTTGGTCATTTCCATTTTGCTATTATGAATTGATAATACGATCATGCATTGGCGTGATTGTGGAAGATTTTTGCAGAGATTGTATACTGTCGTGTCCAGCCTGCACTGCACTCTATACCTACCTTGCGAGGATCCAAAAGCAATGAAATCAATTCGTTCTTAACAATCAGTATCATTGCTGTTGTCTGCTTGCATTTTAATACATTTTACTTGACATTCCGATGTTTATGGCCATGACCGGCTAAATTTGAAAGCATAACCTCCATTGGTTTCGATTATGATGTCACATTACTTGCATGAAGGACTTCTCCTATAAATTTTAGTTTTCAAAAAGAGAAAGCAGTTCTTACTCGGTAATGTAATGGACGAGAAGACTACTGTAGATCGAACAGTTTATCCTGTTTCTCCCATGGTAGAAAATGGATCTTTGACAAATTCCTGCTAGTATCTATGGCACGGTAGCCTGGTACAGTAATATCTTTTCTCTTCCCATCTTGATAGTCCTTGTAACAAGGGGAATGTTAGAGATAGAGTTAGGGTTTCAGTTATAGCATGGAAGTACTGTAGATTATTGTAAATATCCAAAGCATTGGATGATTTACCCTATAGGAACCCTAGCGAATAAACGACAGGAAATGGCATTAGAAAGTATTTAAGCTCAGACATAAAAAATAATATTTAGGGTAGTAACAAAGTAATCGAAACTTGTTCCATCACCGTTAAGTTCTATAATTATAATATACGCATATGTAATGATAGGTTCTACTCGTCCTTCGTCAAAGCCATTTACCCTTGATGGCCAGTGCATTGGCAGGATTCCTCCTTATGTGCTGCAACAACTTCATCATCACAAGAATGTATTCCAATTGGAAATGGATGACTCAGAAAATATTACAAGAATTACACTTCATGATAGACTAAAATCATTCGATGAACGCACAAAAGCAGTAGACGAAGTAATGAAGGACTGGAGAGACAATCATGTCTTTCCAGTCTTGGAAGGATGGAGGAATGAGGTAACGTTCATTTTATAGTAATTTCATCTATTGATATAGTAGAGTAGGTATAAAAAATACGAGTACTTCGTAGGAAAAATAGTATACATATCAAAAATCTATCTTGAAGTAGGCTGATAGTTACTTGTATCTAATATTATCAACAACGCCATTGAATAACAAATCATATTAATGTAATATTACTCAAATGCTATTTCATATATTGACTATGTTGGTCTAGATGTACAAGGTTTCACAAACATACATATCAGGACCGTTATTTAACATGGAGCGAAGTGCAACTTGTAAATCTTAATTAAGATAGCGAAATTGCTAGCTTACAGTAATCTAATAATGTCTTTAACTTGTAGTCTAATTGACAAATAATCTTTTCCCTTATCTTCAGTACTACTTTGCTGCTTTATTCTATTTTACCGTAGTTCGCTATCGCTAACAAAATTCTGGCTTTCAATCGTAGCTTTGCTAGGTATAAGACAATATGGAATCCATGTGAATGGATTCTATATTGATTGCAAGAATGATGATGTTTTAATGTGGGTTGGTAAAAGGAGTAAGACGAAAGCAACCTTTCCTGGAAAATTAGATAACCTGGTAGGCAAATAATTCTGAGTACGCTCATAAACCGATATTCCACTTATTATCTAACTCATAACTACTGTGTTTATCTTATTCCATGTTATACTTGTATTTCATTGGATCAATATTTGATGTAGTCCATTTAACTACCAAAGATCAAATATGATAGTTGAGAATTGTACCTCATCTATTATTGTTACTATTCTAAGTTATGAAACGATATTATTTCTGTTTAATATTTTGTAATGCATTTAAAGTATCATTATGGCTTGAAAATGATACTATCAAGACGATATTTAACTGTATGCATATAGTTTGTGTAGGCTGCAATCCGATGCGAGTTGAGGTTTACTGTTCATCTTTGTACATATCCATATATTTTATTTTTGAATTTAATAGGCTGCTGGAGGTATCTCCGTGGGGTACAACATTGCTGATACCTTGATTAAAGAATGCGCTGAAGAAGCGTCCCTCCCTGAAGAACTTGCTAGAAGAGCAATCTCAACTGGAGCGCTAACGTAAGTAGCATATCACAGTAGCTAAACGATAATTTTTGTAAACGCTGTTGGTTAATCTAATACCATAAATCATCTACTATACTATAAATAGCTATTGCTACGAGGATGAGAGAGGCTATTTTCCAGAAACTCAGTTTGTGTATGACCTTGAGTTACCTCCTGACTTTACTCCGGTAAATTCGGACGGAGAAGTAGAAGAGTTCTATCTCATGAAGCTAGAGGAGGTCCATAAATCAAATAATATCGATATTAAGTCCAACGTATTTCCTTTTTTGCTCTTTAGTTAATATTTTTTGCCTGCTTATTGATGTTACTATAGGTTGTGCAACGTATTTCAGATGATGAATTCAAGCCTAATAGTGCACTGTCAGTAATAGATTTCTTAATTAGAAGGGGATATCTCAAGCCCGACGACCAAAATTATCTGCATATCCTGTCTGTGCTGCATCGAGATCTGGACTGATGAGGTCATGATCATCATACACTAATGAAGTTGATATGAGAAGACTTGTAGTAATGAGTATCCTCAAATCTCCTCAAATAATTATCAAATTTTTAGTTTCCATGCTTTTGAATACTCATTCCTGATGGTAATGTTTTCTTCATGTTTCTCAATACTCTAATCAATGTCTGATTAAACAGATCTGATCTAATGTAGACGCTAGGAATACGTACAACATTCATATGATGTTAGGGCTCAAATGACGTTTTTATCGCTTATTTAGTCTAGCCTTGAATTAAGGTTCTTAGTTGTCTGTACAGTGCACTTTCAATCATTGTGACTTGGATAATAATATGGAATGCTGATTTGGATCTGAATTTTAAATGTTCATTTTACAAGATTATTAATTTTTAGAAAGTAAACATAAACTTGCATTGGTGGAATTTATTCGATTATTGCATGTGTATGTGTAATTGAATTAAAATTTTAATAAGCAACCGTTGCATCAAGGGTGGGCTTTTTCTTTGCAAAATCTGTTAGATTAGCCCATTCGTCACATCTTTCTATTTGGATTGATTACTTCCACTTTTAACTTTCAGAATATTAACACTTAAACGAAATGAAAATTTTGTCAGATCGATTCAGTATTTAATGAAATCAATATTTCTTACGTATGGCAATTTGAAAAGCAAACATTATCGATATTTAATTTAGTGCAACATATATTTAAAAAAAAAATCGTAAACATATTTTGCATCAAATTCTGCAAAGTCAGTCATAAGTAGGTAGCAGCGCTGTGTATAGGCTTGAACCATTAAAGAGCTTAATTCCAATCAATTAAACTACTAATCCTAATAGTAAAGCCTTCATATATTATAGTACGCGTATGTAAAGAGAAATCGGATTAGATTCTTACAAGAAAATGATAACTATTATTAAACGGTGATCATAAACTATTACTAATAATTTTGATTACCGCAGACGTTACTGACCATGCAGTTAGTAGACGATTTATAATTAAATCCATAGAAATTTCCCAAATTTAATTTCTTGATAAATTTAAATCCAATTCTTATTTTACCGCTTAAAGTGATAGCCATAATGCAATTATGTTTACAATATTAACAATCTAGTTCAACAACATGTATCTACCAATTATAGTGTAGATTATAAATCCAATTACAATGCATTAATTTTTATAATATAAAAATATACAGTATTTACTTAAATTAGCCATATCATAGATGTGCAAAAGGTGAAGTTTACACAATGTTTTGCGAGTATGAGTATCTAAACCTTTAATTTACAATGAAACTTGTCCTGTACGAAGCTGCAATATGAATATATGACCTCATTACAAATTTAAAATAATTTCCCAAGAAAAACATATTGCAATTGATTATTATTCGTAATATGAAAAATCATTAAAACCAAGACTGTGGATAGTATACATACAAAAAATTACTCAGAAGTTATTTTTGAAAATAGATCGTTCAACACTTACTTAGGGTACCTAGATACAGTAGCATTAAAATAGTAAAAGGACTATCATTGATTGTGTTTTATGATCCTGCATAGAAGTAAAGGACTTGCAAAAGTGTCTGCAATTACGATGAATAGATTATTTTTCCATACAGTTAAAAATACGAGTGTATAAACATCAGTAGCAGGAACATCAGTAGGAGGTAAGAAAAAAATATTGGATTAATAATACTGACATCGAAATCTTGAAATTTTGAAGCTAGATATCTGTTCTATGTGACTGTTAAATCAACAACAGTGTCGATGTTAGCTTAAGATGATAAAAAATTTTTGAAAACTCTCCCTAATCTAGGAAAGTTTAAAAGTTAATTTTAATTTCCAATAATTAAACAATTCCACAGAATTTACCAATTCGTGTATGACTTCTAACAAACATATCTTGACTTAAATTCAGTCTTAATGCGATTTGTTAAAAACACAGATCAGTTAGCAAGAGAAAAGAAGTATTTGCAACTTTATTTTTACTCCAATGAAAGAAAAGTTCATGCCAATTTTATCTTGCTATTCTATATCTCGCCAATATATGGTCATACATCTAATGTCGTAGATCAGTTGCTTGTGTTTTCGATGGTCCTGAATTTATGTAGGTATTACAGTCGTTTGGCAGAAACTTAATGCAATCAAACAAGCTAAGCTATACCTTAGGTACATTATAAAACTGTATACAATCCCAAAGATTGGCCAGATCAGAGAGATTTTAATGACGATCATTTTTACTAACTCTAACCTCTAGTTCTAGAAGCAGAAACCTTAATTTGCAGCTTGATAAATACTTGTAAAACAAGGTACAGCTTTGGAATGTTGGATTTTTAACGTTATCTCGCCAAGCAAGATGGAATACAAGACTCTAGATTAGTGATGCCTTTATATATAACATATCTGTTTACCCTTAAATGAATACGTTATAAATAAATGATAGACTCATTTACATAGCGAAGAAATTTCTTTTAAATTAAAATAGAGAAGCAAATTGTTGATAGATTAATTAATCAATCAATCAACAACGCTGTCTTTGGTATTATAATTTAATTACCAATCACCTAATGCAATTAGGCTTCGTAGGAATTGAATTTATAGATAATATTGAATATTAGCAATATGCAAACATGATTACTCAAACATAAATTCGGGTCCAGGAATAACGGTTGAACTTAATAGGATAGCCAATCCATCGTTCTAACTTACTCCTTATTTATTAATTATAAATAAAGTATGCTGTATGGTAATGCTAGAAATTAAATACAATGCTGGCATATGGAGTGAATTCGCAGAGAGTGATCAATATGTGGACAGATCTGGAATTTGCTATATCATCTTAGTTAAAATTGTAAGCGCCATTTTTATTGCAATGATCGATGAACTTTAATTACATGATATCTATTAGAAACCTTGAGTCTATATTAAATTAATTACTGGCTCCCAATAAATAGCATATTGGCATTTGTTGTTAACGGGTAACTGCGATCGACACAAACTAGACTAAAAACAAACGGAAATGAAAGGGACGTTACGAGATATTCTGAAGCTTTATACGAGTATGGCGGCTACGATATAACTTTGCCATTATATCATAATGTTAAGTTTAAGATCGAGGTAATATAGATAATATTGATCAAATCATCAGCTCCATACAGATTAATGTAATAATTTGTTCTAGCACTAGCAAACATCTGTTTGCTTCAATTATACAGTAAAAGCCAAGTTAATTGCATCATGAAAAAATTTCTCAGCCCAAATATACTAAAAAAATTCTCTATTTCTAAGCGGTTTCTTGCTCAGAATACCAGTCCATTCATTATTTTAATGCTATACCTATTACGCATTATATCGCAACACCAGGTCAATCACCATAGACAAGGTTAGACACATCAAAGCAGCCTTCAACACAAAATCTATTTTATTGCTGGATTGCCTTTCCTGATATAAAACTGCATGTACGTATACGCTAATATACATGAATTAAATTCAGAGTCATCTATCAAGCATGATTTTCGTGTTATAAATTTATGTGCATGTACCATATGAAATGTAGCACTATTCAGAATCAACTGTTATGCTCCCCAATTTGCGTAATGGGCTGTAAACTAGATATTTAATCAAGGCATGGAAAATTTTTGTACCGCAATAACAAGGGGCTCTGGAATTATTTAAAATCTGTTGGCGTTATTCCAGTGCGGTTGGCTTTGCATTTGGGCTAAGGCTATACAGTGGTGTACATCAAATTAGATCTCTAAATTCTTCTCGAGACTAAGAAGTCCTTAAAATCGAAAATTCTTGCATTAGAAAAGTCTCTTTTGTAACGATTAAAATTTCTAGCGTCGGAACTAAGTTAGCTACATTCAATCATCTGCATCTAAACTTCTTTATGTTAACAATCTGTTGGAGTTAGGTGTCACCAATGATGAAGCATCTTAGCTCTTAATGATTGCTTATAACTACCTTATTTCAGAAGCTAGCTAACTGCAACCTTTATAAATATTTTGATAGCAAGAACTTTTCCACTTAATGTGCTAACGATTTTTATGTTGGAGTTAGATGCCAGCAACGGAGAAGTGTCTTAGCTCTTAATGATTGCTTACAGCTTTCAGCGTTATTTTAGGAGCTAGCTAATAGCAACTATTGTAAAAGATTTTAATGCAAGGATTTTCTATTTAAGAAGATTTTGGTGTGAATAAAATTAAAAATCTAATTTCATGTATACCATTAAAGTCTTCACTCGATTTCAGATTTTAAACTAGCTTGCGTAGATAGTTATTCCATCATCAAGCCATCTTAAAATGGAGTATCATTGTTGATTTAAATTGCCCTCCTTTTGTACGCAGCTGCATTCAATACCGTTGTTGTGTTAACTTGATTTCAGATTTTAAGCAATCTTGGGCATGTAGTTATTCCATCATTTAGCCATCGCGATATGGAGCACCATTATCGATTTAAATCGCCTTTATTTTTGCATGCAGCTACCTCAAATACCGTTATAGTATTAACTTGATTTCAGATTTAAACTATTTTGCGCATGTAGCTATTCCGTCATTTAGCAATCGCAAAATAGAGCATCGTTATCGATTAAAAATATTTTTCTTTTAGTATACAGCTGCCTCAGATACCGTTTTGGCATTAACTTAATTTCAGATTGTAAACTATTTTGCACATATGGTTATTCCATCATTTAGTCATCATAAAATGGAGCACCATTATCGATTGAAATTACCTTTTTGTATACAGCTGCCTCAGATACCGTTATAGTATTAACTTAATATCAGATTTTAAACTATCTTGCATATGTAGTTGTTCCATCATTTAGCAATCTTAAAATGGAGAACCATTTTCGATTTAAATTCCATTTCTTTTATGCAGCTCAAATACCCTGCAGCAACATAGACATTCATGTTTATCAATCCAAAATTAATAGAAATAACAGTGTAGAGTATATCATGTCTCAAAATTTATTAAGTAGTCAGTATATCAATTCTTAGTCAATAGCATCGCAATGTAATTGCTACATGATTGGCTAGTCCGTAGTCTCCCCTTGCATTAATTATATGGGCTGATAGAGCAGATAGCCTATCTTGCTGTATAACTACTCATTCAGTATATCGCGCATAGTAATAAATTAAGCAAATAGTAGATAAAGATATAATGCAAGGGGACTATAGCTGAAAGGGAATCATGCGCGTTCGATCGTCCGTTGTGACCATAGCAACCGCGGTTACTAAGTATTTCATTATAAACAGTTACAGTAAGAGAACTGTTCTACTCCATCTATACGATTATAGGAAAGTTCGACGCCTTTAATATCCAATTGCGTTGGCTTTCGATCTTGTTGTGCCGATTTTTTTACGATATTTTCAGCCGGAGTAATTTAGTTCACAAGAACATGTCTGACTATTCGGATTATGATGGTGAAGACGATAATATAGATATCGACAATGATATTATTGAACAAGACGGGGAAGACAACTTAGAGGTCGGTAAATAATGTAGGAAAGTAGCCTTGAGACCTCTTGAAGGTTATAAGCTGTCCATTTACAAATTGCGATAGACGTAGATAAAATGGAATCTGCAAATATATTCAATTTATGCTTTGAAACTGTCTTCATAGCGGCGTGCATATCAGGCTCTAAATCAGAGTTTAGATCTCAGATAATTATTACTGAATATTGTAATTGAATAATCGTGGAATATAAATTGATAAAATGTAGCGCTGGCATAAGTGGTAGCAAAGTAAGTACCGTATATGATCATAATATATAAGCGAGAGAATATGTAATTTATGAAGTTTCTTAAAGATCATCTCATATTTGAATTTGTGACAGCTAAAGCTTGAATAATTAGCCTGTTGTAATCACCTGATATAAATACTAATCATTTCACTTTTAGTATAATGTCACCAAAATGTACAATATTCAAAAACGATATGACTGGTATAAGCGATTACTATGATTTCATGAGTAGCTATCAAAAAGATGCATAAACTCTAAACAGCATGGCAATATCAATAAAATCTTTATAACGCTTTTTTAGTATGCAAGTAAATTGGACTATACAGGTTTCATTCTTTTACTAAACTGCTATATGATAAATCTCTATCGATGCGTCACAACACAAATATTGGATAAAATTATCGCAATGCTATCATGTAATGAATAGATTGCAACAGCTATCTGGATTGCCATTGCTACCTAATTTTTTACTTGATATCTGTACAATATTCTTAAATTGCAGCTTTACGGCATAATATCAGTTATTATTGCTAAAATTTCGTCTACTACATTATCTTTCTGCTTTAGAATGTAACAGAAAACTCACTGAATGATGAAAATATCCGCGAAGGATTGTCACTGTTATGCAAAACTGGCAATGGAATATCCCATGCATATGTTCGATTAGATGTGCATGACAAGTATGGATCTTATATTACCAATACTCTATATAGCACACAATTACATCAATACATGCGTTTAAGTTAAACATCGTGCAATCTTATTTCCATAGAAATTTAACGGATATAAATAAAATAAGCAACTTTATCCATCTACGCTACTTGGTAAGTGGTTTCATTTGATACGCAATACATACTAAAATCATCAGAAGATAGATCATTATAAAAATCTGAAATATAATTCTGACTGAAATAGAATCATAATTAATACACAAATAAGTAAAAGTTTTTATCATATTCTAAAAGAATCCTAAGGAATTCGTTGCAGTAAACTGCTTGAATAGTACCGATAGTAATATCAAACAACTAGCTATTGCATATCAGGAAGTTCACTATCTGATCTTCTGCTGCTACTTAATATTTCTGTATTTATCATTATTTTAGCCAAATTTAGTAAATAACCTAAGATTTTTGGCATAGCCAAGAGCAATTATTCTGACTGTATATCGAATGATAGTGCAAAAACAGTAAAGTTTTGTATTCACTAAATGTACACAATTATATATATTCATATATGGTAATGTAGTAACGTCTGTCATTAAACACACATGAGATAGCTCAACATATACATTTCGATTACAAAGTTTATCGGGTTTATGAATATCCATTAAAGAAAAATTTTTAAATGGATTACTTCTATGACTATAGGATATTTCCGGAAATAACTTGAAGGATATTTCGCCACTAAATCATTTAACTCATCTGCTTACTTTGAAAGCAGATCGAAATCTACTAACATCTGCTCGTCTTGAAGAGGTTTATTTCATTGATTTGCTTTAATTCGTAACAACAGGTCCACCTTTTGATATATTTGAGGTTTGACATTTTAATTTTTTATGATAGCTCCCCTACTTACAAAGTGCGAGCTTTGCTCATAATGCTATTACGTCGACAGAAGGAATTAGTCATCCGCTTCTAGAATCGCTAATCTTATCATGTATGTATGAAATAGCATAATTTTGAGCAAAACGTATTAGCTAAGATTTAAAGAAGTCTTGCATTAACAATTGTTGGCGTTTTCTTTCTCTAGTCAATAATATTGTAGATGTTCGTGGACTTGATCAGCAAAAACTAGCTAAACTTCAGACATTAGAATTAAGAGCCAATAAATTAACATCTGTAGAACATCTAACATTGCCAAAACTAAAGAATCTATATTTGGTAATTATGATTGCTTTAACAAGCACTAAATAGATCATATTCTCAAATCGTCAATAGCCTCGATTAATTTGAGTACTCGTGCATAATATCCTATTATTAGGCTGCCAATTTGATTGATAACTTGAATGGAATCGATAAACTGGTACAATTACGAACTCTCCACATGCGCGATAATGCGATTAAATCTTTAGATGGATTTACGGATAACATGAAACATTTGCAATATATTAATTTACGGTAGGTTATTTATACATAATTGAGTTTTTTAACATAGGTACAGTAGAAGTGATTTTAATATTATAACAGCTAAATTATATTGTAAAATGTCTCATTTTAACTATATATTTCAGTGGAACCAATATAGACGATATTAAAGAAGTCTCCAAATTAAAATGTCTACCACTTTTACGTGCAGTTGTACTATCAGGTAACGTTCGGAAAATGTGGTACTTTTGAGAAATAGGGGCCAATTATCACGGTACTCAAGTAACTTATCTGATGTTTAATAACTAAAGATACTTTACTATAAATTTCTAGAAAGTCCTGTTGCAGATGAGAATGATTATCGTATCGAGATTTTAATTGCGCTACGACGCTTGGAAAGGCTGGATAAAGAAGAATATAACGAAGATGAAAGACAAGAAGCAGAGGAAATTAACGAACAACGACGTCAAGAAGAGCAATTGCAAAAAGGGGCTGAAGAAGTGATACAATCAGATGAGGAATCTTAAATGACTGCTAAAAGTTTCAATTCCTGAATATTATACCAAAAATGTAATCGTTATTGCTGGTAATCCTGCTAGCACCTGAACCGCCTAACCTTAACTCAATTTTCTATAAATAATTGTAGACAATGTAATTAAAATAATTTAAGGATACTTTCTCCAATTCTAACGTTATTTCTAACAAAGATATGGAAGATTGTAGGAGAAAAACACTACGGGACTTCATATCAGTTATACCATATATCTATGGAAAAGACAATGCATTAAATCACTCTAATTCAAGATTGCGTATTGTAATTTAGCTTCAATGTAATTTATGTGTAGTCGATGATGGTTATATTTTATTTTCCATTTGCAATCACTGTTTGAAAAAATTTCCATTGTTTGCTTGAGTGAATTGCCATCTATCGTTTTAAACAATACTTTAAAGTGTAATATATTGCCGTTCTTCTTCGTTTTAAGAATATTCATGAATTAGTATATTGGTTTACTATCTTGGCTTATAATAGTCTATGCAATCAATAGACCAATCTTGTGTTACATATCAGAGCAAAAGCCAATTAAAATAGCCAATAAGTTGAATAAAATTATGTTTCACCACTCATTCTTGACTAAGTGCTCTTCATTACTTCATAATTTTGACGTAGTCCTTTCTTTATCCTCATTTGTAGCTTAATATCTCAAATGAATGCAGTTCCGTATTCATCCATACCCTCTCCACTATAGGATATGCATATTCTAATACAATCTTGAAGGAAATTTGTGATAATTAATTACTCTATACATTCAAAAATCAGATGATAAACTATCGGTGTGCACGTATAAAGTATACGCTATGTTAGCAAATGAACATATCGGAGCAGCTAATCAGCTTTTTAGTAATTGGATAATTTACCTGGCGTCTGATGATTTATTAATATCCTATAATATATAATGGCTGATATAATTTAAATTGCTACTTAGATTCATTGGTATGCATATGCTATAAAGAATTGAGCCAAATTTAACACTGCCGTATTAGTTCATTGATGATGGTAGAATAATCCTCCATTTATGATAACTTTCTTTACGATCATAACATTAAAGCAAAAGCTAAAAGCTTCATTATTTAAAATTATACTGCTAAGTAGATTAGTTATAGCAAAATATTTCCTTCTGCTAGTAATATAATGACTATATCTTACCGAAGAGCATTATGCTGATTTACAGCAATTATCGTTGCAGGAGATTAATGTACTACGTACCACCAGATAGATTTTTAGCTGTCTTAGCTAATCGTGATCATCCTATATCATGGAGTATCTAGAAAGTAAAACAGAAATATGCATAGTTAGCAAACTTGTGCGTTTGCTCATATTAATGATTCTGAAAATATTGTGAGTCATTTTTTATTTAAATACATCCGCAAGTTATAAATATTTCATCTTATATTTTTTTAGATGTTGTATGATAGAGTACCCGTACCAGTATCAAAATAAAACTTTATTTATGGTATTTTTCAATGTAAATCGAAGATTTCATTTTGCGGTAGAGAATTATGCAAATCATTAAAGTTTTAAGATGTACTTATTTTGTATAATTAAACTGCACGAAATCATACATAAACCATCAAAGTCTTTCAGCATTGCAGCATCTGAATCCAGTCAGCTTAGCTAGTGAAGGTACTCTTAGATCAATAGACACTTCAAATTTAAATTATATTCATTATTTCTAAACATGAAAGTAGACAATTTTGAATCATCTGAACGACCAAGGTACTCTGATAAAAAAATTTAGATCAAATATCTGTGAAATTAAGAATGTAAAATTGAGCAGAATGCTAATATTATTATCATCCGTCATTTTTTCGAATAGAGAAGCATATGAAAACATTTTATCGATTACCAATACTGATTTGTTTATAATTTAAAGTATAACCAAGTCTGCTTCGATTATCTCGAGGATAGAAGCAGTTTATCAGCACTTCTCAATGGAACTTCCAGCAAGCGAAACTAGCTTATAATAAAATATGAATTCGAGTTTAAGATCTTATTTCCAGATTCTGGATCAAATTTTTGTTCTGCAATAGCGAATATAGTTAATTATACCGATTTTAAGATTATCAAGCTTGCTCAAAGTACATTTAAATTCGGTAGATAACGTAGCATTTAAATATCGTTTAAATTTTTTATCGAATGGACTGCAATCTTACCCTTTCTGAGTAAATTCATAGCAATTCCAATTTAAATTATCCATTACGTTAATGGTGTATCAGTACTCTTGCATTAAATTATTAACAAGATGATTGCCATTTCCTACTTCGAAATTCAGAGAAATTGTTAGTCTCTATTGAAAATGAAAGCAATATGCCTATGTAGAATTTATAAATCGTAAGGGATTTACATAAAGATATAGAAGTTTAAGAGATAACGTCAATATTTCCTAGGAATTGTGTAAATCAGAAGTAGTAATAGGTACCTAGTAGCAGTTATTCTATTTTTACGCAAGAAAATAATGCATAAGTAATGATATTTTAGATAAAAAACTAACAAGTATATCTATTATTATATGATTATTTTAATTTTTGCTATGCTTATGACATAGATTTAATCCTGTATGATCATTTCCAATTAAAAATTATTAAGGAGTCTATCGGATATTACGTTGATAATATATATGACGTGGATTAAATTAATAAATTATTTATCCTTGCAAACAACTAGTTAATATATTACTTGTAAGATCAACAAGGTTTATCGGAATTCTACGTATTAAGAAACGACGAGAAAGCAATGGGTTTCGGTAGTCTTAATAGACTTCTTTATTTTAATAATGATCATGTTAATAATTATTGTATTAAATGTTAGATAAATCCAAGATGTTGCCAATAATACATACAATAACCCATCTATATCCTATTTAAAGGATATTTATAGTAAATTAATAATGAAATTCGGATATCGTTAATAGGCATTCCGTTTTATTAAAATCAGTTACATATATACTATAATATAAGCCTAAGAAGTAGCTTTTCGCATACTTGTATAATACTACTACAGAAATATTTGCATCATAGCGATCACTATTATCGAAGTCATTTTATGTATTAAATTTATGCAACGATGGTCTATATAATTAATTGTGATACTAAACTGCCAATTTCGGTGGTAGCTTAAAAATTTGGGCATAAATTTTGGTAATCATCTCTGTAAAGTCTTTACAGATCACACATCTTACGATTTCTTTTGTCAAATATGATGTAAATAATATCTGTCGGATAATAGGCGTAATGAATTATTTCATAAAGAAAATGTAATATACAGTACAATGGTGCTAATGTCTTAATAGGCGTATTTTATGTTGTAGCAGATCATTAAATTTAACTGATTATGGTTAGATAGTGCTTGTTATTGATTAAACGACAGATAGACATGATTACATCCTGTGCTTATCTATAAACGATATGGAAAGATTTTACCTTCAACGGCTCTTAGTATCCTCTACTTTTCTAAAGAGCACTAAATATGATCTTGAGCTTAGTCAATATGCACAAAATCTAAATGATTTAATGATCATGATCCGATATTGATTACTAGAATGATTTATACTTAACTTTGTAAGATGCTACTTCTTGCATGCTCGTAGTACTATTATTATACAAGCCTTAATAAATGGCGCTTTAGAAGTCTTTTCAATTTCTACCCGCAATGAAATAATAGCTATAACGTCAAAATATATTAGTATTTCTACAATACTACAAAAAAATTATTAAGGCTGCATCAGTTTTGATAGTTAATTAAATCCTATAAAGAGCGATATTTTCTAGAATTTTTCCTTGATGATTTTTAAGTTGATCGATTAATTTACTCTCAATTTCTTCTACTTTCAGCATTAATTTTTTATTATTCTTTGTATAATCGCGATCTTGCTAACTTATGAGAGGCAATAATAGTCATAATTGTATCTTAGGCAAGATCACAGCATAAGATTAGCAGTCAATACAGTGAATTTTCCTAACACTTTGTGTGACTATAGCCATATAGAATGGCTATATCTATAACATCAATGTATAAGATCTTTGATCATTGATGCTGACATAATGTTATTTTCATTTATTGTATAACATACGATAAATTTATATGTATGAAGAATCGAAGCGTGTACACTATATAATGATGGCAATTTGAAACATAAAAGAAAGACCTTTTATTCCTTTTAGCTGTAATCTATTATTAAGATTAACAACTTACTTGTATTCTTAGTAGTTTTAAGTTAGTGAAGTATGGAACAATATTTCAATTTATATTTATAGCTATTGCTTTGATATGTAGATGGCGAATCTAATTTTAGGGATAAGATATCGAGCTATACAAAAATTTGTGCCACTCTGGACGATTATTATTAAGGTTAATGGCATGGTCAGTTAAATTATCGCTAATTTCTAAATGTGATTGTAACTGTTTCTATATATATTATTTCTTAATGTTATTCAATTGGACAAAGTGATTCCAGAAATAAATAAATATAGTACTTGCGAACTAATTGCCTGAATATTGCATAAATCATCAAAGTATCAAACAAACCAGCGGTTGTTATGAAAGAGGCATTATTCATTGCAAGGAAGAAATTGAAAATGCTTGAAGCATATCATGTTAAAATCTTAACTGAAAAATAATCAATAAATCAAGCGTAGTGAAAGCATTGTTATTGTGTCACTATGGTATCTACGACGTTTCAGAAATCTCCATCGGTTATGAATAATTTGTAAATCTCTTTAATTGAATATCGTTAATATTAATTTCATAGTTAAACGCGATTAATAAGTCTACCATATCCACCATAAATAAATTCACCATGATTAATGTAGTTTTTCAGCAAATAAACAATTGATAATATCTTTTCGATCAAGTTAAAATTGCATGCAAATTATTTAAAAGTTTTCTGTTGCTGGAATTTTATTTGGATCGTTAACATATAGATTATCTCTGTTAATAATAATTAGTATCATATGTTATATTTTCCACTACGATAATAATAATAATCTGCTTTATCGTAGTCTATATACATGCTAAGATGCTTTTCAATCTTATAAGATTGTTACGAATGAAACTATGTTCTATATTGATATAGGTTAGCTTACGTCAGAATGATGTAAATATTATTTCATACGTAACAGAAAAGGGGTTAGTTTATGCTAACGCTAAGCTAAAAATAATACCCTATTGTACTCTATTGACCATTTATACATAGACAGCAGTTACAGACTGCTAAAAGGAGGATTCGTCTACGTTCATTAATGACTCTATTTCGTATATTTTATTTAAAAATCACCGTTTTTGATTGATTATTTATGAATAAATGATTAGCAGATGTAATTATTCTTAGTAAAAGGTTATTAATCCACGATGGACTGTAAAGATAATGAGATGATGTAAAAATTTAATGTAGATAACTTAATACTTGTAATACTATCAATTTTAGCTTCAACTATTATGGGGTATTTCTTCAAGATAATTATTTTATTGACGTATTTATAGTTATAGGTTATTGGATAACTACTAGCAATAGGTGATAGAACCTGGTGTAAGTTGTACGCGTTAATATGATCAATGGTGGAGATTTCTACCTTATACACGAAATTAACTAAGGAATAATATGTGGTCACCTTTTTCCTTCATATTACAGTAATATTAGCCAACAATGAAAATTTGAATAGTCTATATTATAGATGCCTAAGATATCGATTTCCTGTATCTTAGATCTATCATTATAAATCTGTTGAAATGATCCATTGTTGAATATCATTATTGTAACTACAGTACTTCCACGTCTTATTTATTCTATAATGTTATTCAACGTAGTGATGTTATTCTAGATGAATGTGGTCAAATTACTTTTGTGTACGTTGTTATCTTGTACTGTATATACAGTGCATTAACAAATAATTAGTTCAAATGAAAAATAACTTTTACTAAATCTAAGATGATCATTAACGTGTGGTAGAAAAGAAATTTGAACCATAAATAAAAAAATTTCAATTTTACGGTTTTTACAAATTTATTGCAAGAATAGATTTATGTAATGCTATCATGGTTAAATGGTTATTCGGTGCTAAAAAAATCGACTCAAACTGAACATCTGTGTCAATATATTCAACGTTAACAATATTTGAACAATTTTGATTTATAGTACTCAACTTTATACAGTTCAAATAATAACTATTGATAGTATATAAATTTTTCAAAATAGTTATGTAATTAGATAAGGAATACGGGAATGAATCAAGATATATTATGACTAAAAATGATGACGATATAGGAAGTTACTAATTTCAATGATAGCAGGTGCGTCGTAAATTGATCATTTATTTACACTAGAGTATTTAAAGAATGGAATCCAATCAACATTTATTCAAGCCCAACAGCAATTAATTAATAATTAAAAAGTTGGAAAAGGTTTATTAACTCCTGCAACCGCGTCCATCTAGTAGTTAGTTGTTCCCATCAGTAGAAATCAAGATGAGACTAAGGGCAATAACTCTAACATTTTGCCTGGTAATTTGTACCATATCGGCTGTTAAAGCTAACGGTAATAGTAGCTCTTAAACATAGAAATTATGTAATTTAAATTTTACTTAGACTCAAAATTTTGAATCTTGTCAATTGCTGTTCGAACTAGCTAGCCTAATATTTGCCCTGTCCTAGGATTTATCAATTTTTATAGCAATTTTTCTATCTGTTGATAGATCTTGAAGATCGTCATGCCCATTCAACTCCAGCCTCTGGATTTAAAAAGTTGAAAAATTTGAAGTATTTAGTAAAATGGGCTCCAGTGAGTAGAATATCCAATTAAACGTGTAGTCATCCAATATCAATGTTGTTGGCAACTAGATGTTCTCGATGTCTTATACTAATTTTATCGTTTTATTCTTTTCCTTTGCATTTTAGCCAACATGTAATGCCAATAAAGCTTGCCCAACTGGTCAATGTTGTTCCGTCTATCAACCTACTTTACATACACCTAGAAGAAGATATTGTAGGCCTAATCCATACCTTGGTAGCACTTGCCGCCTTGGCACCGGTCGCCGCTCTCTCTGCAGATGCGGCACTGGTCTACAGTGTGTACCAGCTTATAGACATTTGACTATTTCTGGCCGAAGCGTTTACCGAAGTGTCCGCGGTGCTTATGATGACTTAGATGAAGAAATTGATATGGTACGTGAAACCTCTTCTTTTGCCGATGATGACTACGAAGCCATTACATGGAATGATGTTGCAGAATTGCGTAGAGAAGCTGAGATGAGTACTGGTTCCACACGTAAGCGAGCCGCTAGTCGATTAGCCAATGTCGGTATTTGTGTCCGTGACAGTAATTACACTCCATAAGACATTTCAGCCTTATTGAGCCGTTCAATTTGTCATTCTATATTAGAATGATGATGAAAAACGAATCTGTATAACTAATACCGTACATAATTGAGAAGTTGATATTCCAACTATTGCTTCCTTGGACTATACTAGTACCATATCAATTACTGACAGGAATATGTACTTAAACTACTTAGTTGTAATGAATAAGATGTATTTCAATAATTAATTAATTAAATCTAAACAACCATTGTGGATAGTACTGCTCTGCTTTTAATATCAAATGTTGCCACCATAACTGTAATACATGACATTCAATGTAATCATCACCCTTCACATCTTATCTTAATCATTAATCTGCTTATTAAAACACGTGAAATAATGCAATAAAAGTAATATCGAACGAACTTATAAGTGTCATTTTAATGCAAATTCGTACCTATCGTAGTGTTTGTTATTCAATATTTTAAAATTAAAAAAACAAAATCTTCAAAATTATACAAGTGAATACGAAGTTAATTCAACTAGCTATTCTATGGACTATTACCGTAGTAGCCCATGGTTGCTCATATATTAGACTCATTACGGCAGTTCTAACGGATACAAATCTAGTCTTACGATATGCTTCTATTCCTCGTACTATAATAACTCTATCACAACTGGTACAAACAGATTTATTCAGTACTTCAAGGCGAAGTTTGATAGACAACGTAATCTCAGAACGATTTACTGTATTACATCATATAAAATACTTAAAATCGCATTTTCTGTTTTTGTCAAATGAGACAGTCTCGCATAATTGCTTGAAGGAATTTTCTACCGTATGCTTGTACTATATAATCTCCAAGAAAAGGTTGGGAAAAATGAAAACGATTTCATTCTCTACGTCTTAGAGCTAGAAACTATCGCAATTACTGCAAACTTGGACACTGTAGATTATGCTTCAGAATTCGTAGCTATGAAATCTTTTGACATTATTTACACTAATCTGAAATTGTATTTGTTTAAAGTATGTACAGGGCTACTATTTTACGCCATTATTACAGGCAGTAAGCTCGACGTCAGCAGATACAGTCTCTCAGCTATTGCAGTTAAGCTAATTTGAGAGTTCTTCATTTTCTGTATTTGACTACTTCTATTGAGTTTGTTATTTTGTGTCATCATATTTAATGTTATGTAGCGATTATACTTGTAAATATAACGAAAAACAATCCTGCTAGTATGTTTATCAACTCAAAACGTGCGTGAGTATTCCTAGCATTAATTTTTTACTGTAATATTCAATACTTTTGAACACGACTTGATATTTCTCATCGTTAAACTAGTTCAGCTATTGCATTGCAACTATAACTTACTAGCCAGTTTTTTCATCGTTCTAATATGGTGATATTTACATTTATTTACTGTTTATGTTCACGACACAACAATATGCAAAATTTTCATGGGCCATCCATGCTTAAATTTCGTATATGCAGTAACATATCAGTTCAGAAATCAGCTATTGTGAAAATAATAATTTATATATAGAACTGGTAGATAAGCAAAAGATCGAAAAGCCGTTAGGCAACATCGATAATGATATCTAAGAATACGTTCTATTCATGAGTATATTTGGCTACTCAAATGTAAATAATGAGAATATAAATCCAGATTTCGTACAGTTCTTAGGCGAATCGAAGGACAGTTCTAAAGCAAAGCACAGAAGTAGTCCTCTTATATGCAGTATCTAGCTGATAAGATTTTCAAAGCGATGTCTATTAAAAATTTGATATGAAATGGTGGAATCCCAATTGCGTCAAGCCTGAGCTGCTGTCTTTAACTGTACAAACAATCTCAGGAATCACGTTCGCTTAACTTTAAATCTATCTCGTCTTCGCTTTTTCTTTAGCTTATGTAGTTTAATTTTCTTTCTTCTTTTTTTCATAACGCTGCCACATTCTAATTGTTCATTCGATTCTTCTGTAGTGGCTTGATCACATGATATAATATTTTCCTGATTGAAGTACAGCCAAGATAGTGAATTAGTGTATCTAGTAAAGACTTGGCTTAGCATAGTATGACTTGTAATTGATTCCTTTCGTTCTTGTTTGCCAGATTGACTTTTGACATTTTTGTAAGACGTTAAGAATGCAGTTGGTAATTTGATATCTCGCAATTGAGGATCAGTGACCGCTAGAGATTTTTGTTGGAGATTTAGCAAAGCCAAGTTATCTAGATAATGATAGATAAAGATTACTTGTAAGAGTGCTTCTAATATCTTCTTACTCAGAATATCGTCAGGTTATTCGTCGAGATGCGATTTTTTTATGATTTAACATCAACAACAGCACAAAATGATGGCCTACGATGCGCATACTGCTTGATGCTGCAATTAATAGACATGGCTACATGATGTGTATTAATATACCGGTCTACAGATCCCTATATAACAATATAGCGAGTACTAAGTGCCTTATTCCGTTTAGGCAATAACAAGCATACCTACCGTACATTGTATAATAGTCTACATATGCGTATGAGGGAAAAATTAACACTTTCAATGAAATTATTCACAAGTATATCTCTATGGCGTTAGAAGTACTCTGAGTGTGTTTACGGATAGTGTATACTCGTACATCTAATGTACAGTATACGTCAGTTATCATAGTAAATTTTAACTCTCTACAGCTACACCTATCGAGGTTCCAGTTTTAGGTTGAACCTGTTCATGTACGACTATGAAAACTATACTGCCTGAATCCTGTACGAGTAATATCCGGCCCCAACATGCTTTTGCATCACTACTTGTCTGGAAAGTAGTAATAAGCATACTAACATTCAGCAGCTGTAAACTTCGAGCAATACGCTTTAATTGATAAGTTTATAAAGTGGAGTATTCTAATATTATGTACAAAAGGTCGAATTCAGCTTCTACTTCATAATACCGACTACTCCTCTACGAATAATCAGGCATTATCATGTTATGGTGCAGACGGTTGGATTTAGCTTATTCTTGGTGCTACTGACCACCTCTCTACGAATAACGAAGAGTGAATTTATCTAACCACTCATTACATCATGATACCTGAGGCCTTCTTGATGCGTGTATATTGACCACATGATAAATTATTGGATTTTGCAGCAGCAAACGGCCAGGTCATTTTCCAGGCCGAGCGAAATAAGGTTACAGTTTGCTTTAGGGCCATCTCTCGCTAAATGAATTCAATTTCAAGAACTAAATCGTCGTTCTTCTACGCGTCGACGAGCTGTAAAGTCTAGTCTACAATATCTTGCTCTATGAAAATCTTATCCAATAAAATTTCATCTCTAGTCTCTCTTAAGCAGCTTCCATCTTCCCGAGATTGGATCTCGTCCAACACGAGTTGCGAATCGATGTCCAACTGTCCAGCCTCTGTAGTCTGTACCTTGCTTGCGCCAGACATACCTTCTACGCATGACCAGTACTGTACGACGTGCAGTGGAAACTCATTTTGTTTAAAAATACTACTGTAGTGACTGTACAGTACTGTGTACTGACGGACAGACATTTCCGATTTTATTCTCATTAAACTATTGTGAGGACCACTTCATTATGACTTACTGTACTGTACAGTATAAAGTACAGTACAGTAGTACTGTATGTACTGTACAGTACAGTACGGTCGATTCTGAATTGGCTGATTTTTTCTCAATCAAGTAATATTACATTGAATATTACGATCTATTCCTAAAGTTCTGCTTGGAAGCTGCAGTTATATAAGATCGTGAATGTTATTTAAATTAGTACCCGTGATTTAGAAAATAGATACGGAAGATCCATACCAAGTAGTCATTTTTCGGCATGAACGGCCTCACACTTGATCAAAAAGTCCGTCCATCCTACGTACTGTACACACTGAAACATGTACTGTACTTTGTTAATCCTTGACGTGCAATGTACTGTACAGTACAGTACTGTTTTAGTGTACTGTACTGTAGAACTGTACAGTACTGCGCATGTTCAAAGCGTACTGTATGTACACTGTACAATACAGTACAGGGGAGTTCAGTATTACAGTCGTCCATGACATGAACGGCCTCGCACTTGATCAAAAAGTCCGTCCATCCTACATACACACTGAAACATTTTCCTACAGTACTTTGTTAATCATTAACGTGCGCTGTACTGTACTGTACTGTACTGTACACTGTGTACAGTACAGTACAGAGTGTCCAAAAATAATCCCAGCGCACAAATTTAAAATTAGTATTGCCAAATTGTGCAGTAATTTGCCAAAAAAATGTACCGAAATGTAGAGTAATACTGTAACCTATCATAATCTGAAAACACTGTACTGTAGGGTTACAATACACTACTGTAGTGTAGTGCGTACAGTACTGTACTGTACAGTACAGTCCTGTACTGTGTACAGTACTGCGCATATTCAAAGCGTACTGTACTGTACACTGTACAGTACTGTCCGTACGGTACAGTACAGTACAGCACAGTTCAGTATTACAGTAGTCCATGACGGTACTATGTACTGTACACTGTGCACATTCGATTCCAATCATGACGTAATTGTAAGTAGAGCTGCCGATGTCCAGCGTTACATAAAATGCCCAAAACTCGGTATCAGCACTATAGTTCAGTATCACTGACTGCCAGTTAGGGTTAGCAGTGTGGAAGATGTAGATAGATTCAACTCGAAGAAAGTCCCCAACATTGGGCGCTGTTGAATTTGGTCAACTGTTCAATAAGCAGTTTCAAGGTAATAAGAGGTAAGTTAGCAGCCATTAAAAGAATGATGTAGATTACAATCATTGGATTGCATCTATCTTGCGTTATCAAATGACGGATTAAATTGATATGACTACCATGGGCTTACTAGTTTATACAATATGTTTTAGAAGCATCATATTTTGCTCTAAAACTGTTTGTCTTGAATGCACACGGAAAACTCTACTTTTTAAGCGCTTTGTTATGATCGCCGACAGTTGTTGTTAGTACTGTACATGGACATACAGTGATTACTTTATTGTATAATAACGCCCAGTTAAACTTCTGTATTAATACGTTATAAACAGAGTAAAATTTATTTTAACAGTAGCTTTAACTTTATAATGGCAGCTCGGATCAAATCCAACAGCTCCTTGTAATTATTAATTCCATCATGAGCCGTTTTTCGTTGTGCCGAGTAGTACTACGGATCAGCAAAACAGATGCGCATATACTTACTATACCCGTATATGTATACTAGTACAGAAAAAAGTCTTCGATACAAGTATTTAGAACGTTCTGTTGTACCATATCATCACTAATAGAGAATTCTGATGTTGTGTAATTGAAAGATTAGATAGTTGCCTTTGTATCATTTACCTTGTATTGTGTTATATCAGTCTACCGTTTAGTTTGTTAGATAGAACAATTATGGACAATCAGGCCCAGTAATAGTAAATTAACTGTAAATTGAATCGTTACTCCATACAAATAAGTAGATGTTTATGTGTTACTACTCGTGTAGTTAATACTATATACGCGTACAATGTGGTATCAATTTGATGCTGGTGAATTTCTGTCATAAAAGAGATAATGAAGTTTCAATTTACATCGTTGAATTGAATGCAATTCAACCTTTTGTAGCATATCTGTGAACGGACTCTGCCCCACTTGCGCTAAGATTTCGAAACATGTCTCAGAATCCACCCCTCAGCGTTTCCGGTGATTATCCTAATCAAAACTATCAACAGCCTCCACCCATTGGCGCTGCGTCTGGCTTCCCTCAGCATGGAGATACTTACAGCGAACCAAATCAGCAAACATGGCAGCAACAACAAACGCAGGGATTGCCATTTCGTATCCCCGTAGTACCATTGAAAGTAAGCTAATAATAAATTTCTTACTAAACGTGAAATGACTATGCTGTAAGAGCCTACTGACATATCCTGTTCATGCTTTCACTACCAGTTTGATGTTATACTATAAACTACCATAAAACGTTTTCTAGCTATTATGCTGCTTACCACAGTAGTAACAGAACCGTCATATGAGTATAGATTAAATGGATGGCCTTTTTAACGGCGATCAAGTGAAGGCCTATACTATTTCTCTGCTTATTTATTTATGCTTAGTACTCACTGTGTGGTAGTAAGCTTAGCAATTCTAACCCGATACAAAAATAGTCATAATTACAATCTACTCTACAAATTGCAGAACGGTGAATGCCGTACATTTCTCTCGGAATACAGAATATTTAAGTCAGTTGCCGTGATTATTAAAATTGAGGCAGACAAGTGCTGTATTGCAAGCATCTCTGATTGCAACATACACGTTGAATTTTAATCGCTATCTTCGCAGTGCTGTTTGATATTTTATTGCAAGTAACTGTTGCATATGTTCGTTAAGAATTATAAAGTAACTTCAAAATCTACTAGCGTAGCCATTAGGCCAACCGCGGTGGAAAAATAGGATCGATGAATATCATGATGTCCTTGCAATAAAAATCTTTCTAGCTTGTTTATTATGTTGGCCATCACGTGAATAACTAATGTAATGCAATGCCTAAAATTTCAGTCACCTATCTGATGTAAGTTGTATTTGTTTTTAAACATTCAATATTAGGTTCTTATCCTCATCGACTTTCTCCTAGTTGTATGGTAAGTAAAACGATTATTATGTATTGCATTACTCGTAGATTGCTACTGCAATTTTATTACGGTTATATTGAGATATTACTTATCTGAGATACTATATGACAACCTGTTTACAAATTCATGAACCAACTTTTGGAATGAAATGACCTAATTTTGAATGTAACATTCTTGAATTAAATAGGGGTGCGGAATATCCTTGGCTACCAGCGTCTTATTTGTTTGGGAATTTTACGGTGATAGCTCTGGGAATATGGTCTATTATTGACGAGAAAAATCCTGATGGGCCGCATATGGTAAATAGAATACCAGAATTTTCATTGGAAGGATAGCTTTATTATTTGTTAGGTTATTTTTAGGATAATACTTAATTTGCTGTTCTTATTCCACAGATGTTATTGACACTTACAATTACAATCTTGCAAGACATAATTATGGTCGCTGTGCGATATCCTGTAATAGCCTACAAAATTGGTGGTACTGCTGAATTTCGCTTTTCAGCAGGGTAAAAATATGAAATTCCATGTGATATAACTAGTTGCTCTTACTACACAAACCGGATTGAAAGTACCACTAACTAGTCCAAATTGATCTTATATTTACAGAATGGCAATTCTTAATATAATTTTGAAGGTATTTGCAATATTAATCTATGCTAATAGACTAAAAAATGTATTTGTCTAATCTAAAGAATTGTACTTGATATCTGCAAGTTAAATGTCCTTAAAGATGTACACTTTAAGTGTTCAATGATCTGATTGTAATCTTACGGCGTCTCTTTTAACTTGTGTATGTGTCTTTAGCGATGCATGTGCTACAACAAGTTTCTGTTACAACTGTTTAATACTATAATATTCTTAATTTTAGCCTTTCTATTGCTTTGTCATATACGGGCATCTAACTGCACGTGGTGGCAGTTTGTTAGCCTCATGTAAGTAATCAATCGATAGTGTTATTCGCATTATAGTTTCATTATAGTTGCTTTGGTAATAAAATTCATTATTCTTTCATGAGCAGTTCAACGCAAAAATTATGAATCAATAGACTCTCCACAACAACAACAAGCCTTTGGTGCTAACCCTCCGCCTCAAGATATTGCTGCTTCCGCATCCCCTTATCAGGACACTTACAGGCCATATTCGCAGCCGCAAGTAACACCAACACTGCCGGAATATCCCGTCGATACCAAACCTCCTGTTGCTTAAATAGTCACGACAACCGAGTTAACAATTCAATAGCCGCTGCTAACAGGAATTATAGTATTTCTCAAACTGACTGTCCCTAGCTTCTGATTTCTTTGGTTACTATGCGAGTAACTCGTAGATTTATAATAGTAGAATTCCTAAACGATTCATTGAGTAGGTACAGTAACATTACGAGATGTAAATTGTGTATTGTAGAAAGATTGAATATTGACACTTGAAAATTCATGAAATCATACCTTAATCTGTGTAAACGAAATAGGCTGCTGGCAGAAAAACATAAAGTAGTACTGTCAGTACCTAGGTGTATACAACTATGCTATACCGCAGGTATTAGTATGGCATATAAATTACTGCTACAGTACATATAAATTTCCTATGAGTATATTTACTTTATTGTATGGAAGTCCATTGCTATACCGTATGTATAAAGGTATTAGCTAATGTCGTAAATATAGTATAAGATTTGATACTGTTGCTGTTATAAAAATTTAACCTTTTTACTTAACATTCTTAATTAAGGTATTTTCTTCGCTTACAAGCTAATATTCGCAAGTATCAATTATATTGTTTCGCTGAATTCAAAATTTTAAGTTTTAATTGTTCTTAATTTGTTAGTGTTAGTTTTACTATGTCATAAAATCTTTCTAACTTGCGGAGGAAGTGAAAAAAATAGTGATATCATAGCCATAGTTGTGTATGCCTGCCAATACATGAAATTAAATATTCAAAATTCATATTTGCAATCAACCTTACGTATTAAAAATATGGATTACAAGTAGGTATAAATTGTTGATATTCTTCTGTGCCGTATACATGAATTAGCAATTAAGTCTATCGTTCCTACACAAATCAGTAATATGATAATTACGGTATCTTTCTACTCACAATTTAAAGTATTCGTA